GTGGCGACTCAGAATTTTAAATAAAATAATCCTGTTTTGATTGTCACTTAAATTGGAAAAAACTCCCCTATACCCCCTTTCGGGGGGTAGAAAAGGGAGGTGTGACAACAGGTACACATCTAGCCTCCAAACATCTCCACAAAACCTCTCTCGGAAATTTATCGCACACCTTTTATGAGTCGATGAATACCATATGCAAATCTTTCTTTCTCTCCCTATACTACTCCATCAATATCCTAGCAAGGTGGATGACTTCTGTTGTCGAACGCCCAAGCATAAACCCAAAGTGGTTCTCGAAAATAGACACACTTCTCTTTACCCTTAGCTCTACCACTCTCTCCCAAACTTTCATAGTATGACTAAGCAGCTTGGAACCCAGATAGTTATTGTAATTTTGGATATCACCCTTGTTTTTGCCTATAGGAACCATCGTGCTCCACCTCCACTCTTCGGGCATCTTCTTCGTTCAAAAAATAACATTAAATAACCTAGTGAGCCACTCCAAGCTTGCTTTGCCTGCCCTCTTCCAAAACTCCACCGGAATTTTATTCGGCCTGGCCGCTTTTCCCCTGCTTATCTTACGCATAACCCCCGCAACTTCATCAACTCTAATCTTCCTACAATAACCAAAGTCACAATGACTCCCGGAGAGTTCCAAATCACCTAGTACAATACTCGTGTCCCCCTTCTCGTTCAAGAGACTGTGGAAGTAGATCTACCATCTATGACGGATAAGCCCCTCATCCAACAAAACTCTACCTTCTTTGTTTTTGATGCACTTCACTTGGTTCAAATCACTCGCCTTAGGATAAATATGATAAGGATTAGGATAAATATTTTAAATTATAAAATCTAAAACTGATAAATGAAGTTTAAACTTTTGATTTTAAAGCGAGATCTTTTTAGCTGAGATCTGGTGAATACAGTTTCTCATACTAGTGTAGCATGGAAGTTTATTGGTAAACTAAGGAAAGGGAACAAAAGCATGGGGGGTTTGGGAATTAAAAAGGCTAGGAGTAAAAACTTGGCACTTCTTACTAGTCTAGCATGGAGGTTGATTAATACTAAATCTCTATGGACCCAAATCATAGCTAGTAAATATGCAAATACCAAGAATAAAAATCAACCCTCCTTTATATGGAAAAGTATTTTGAGGGGATGGTACTATTGCAATATAGGCACTAGATGGGACATTAATAAAACAGCTCTCTTAGCATTTGAGAGTCAAACTGGATTCCAAATGTAACAAATCTTAAAAAAGTTATTGAAAGCCCCCTAAACCTTAACGAATAAAATGACAATTAGTAAACTAAGGAAAGGGAACAAATGGAACTTCTCTAACTTATCTTTTGACCTACCAATTTGCATTATAAACAACATTAATGCTATTGGTACCTATAATTCTCCATCTACTGATAATATTCATAATATATGGAGCCTAGCCTCAAATGGTATCTTCTCAGCCTCATCCTACTTTAAAATTATCGACAAAAATGGGGAATACCTAAAAGATTTTAACTAGATATGAAAATTACGTTGTCCTAACAAAATAAAATTTTTTATCTTAAAATGCTACCATAATAGGATTCTCACTAGAGCATATATAGCTAAAATAAGGATTAATATTAACCCTATATGCCATACTTGTAAGCATCAAGAAGAAACAATCCATCACATTTTCTGGGAATGTGACACTATAAAACACCTTTGGAGGGAATATGGTATTTGCTTTAACAATGTCACATCCTATACTCACTAGATAGACCAAATCAAGGAAGTGAGCAATACTTTCCATCACAAATATCTTCAGTGGGCAGAATCTTCCCGTTTGCAATATGGTAAATATGGAAAAATAGAAATCACAATAACCATAATAATACTAGTTGCAACCTGAATTGGAATTCGATCATAAGGCATGCATTAGAACATAATCTACTCACAGAAAAAGGTATGAATAGCACGACCCAAAAATCTATTAAAATATAATGGCTTAAACCACCAAGAGGATGACTCAAATTTAATATAGATGGAGCATTCAGTGCAAACAATTGCCAAGGATGAGTAGGTAGTGTAGCAAGAAACAATACAGGGAGCTGGATTATGGCATTCCACAAAAATGTTGCAACACTCTTAGCAATACAAGTGGAGCTTCAAGCTTTGAAAGAATGTCTTCAAGTAATAATAGAGCACAACTTGGTACCAGTGGAAATAGAAACAGATGCATTGGAGGTCCTTAATATCTTAGAAAATGATCATCCTGCTTACACAAAATTAGTCTATGATTGCAGGTGGTTGATGCAATAAGCAAGGGAGAAGGGTCAGGTGGTACTCAGGCATAGCTTCAGACAAGAAAATGAGGTGGCGCATGCCTTGGCAAGAATGGCATTACTGCAGACCAACATAAATAAAATTACTCTTTTGGCAACCCCACCAAAACTGGCGATAAAAAAATATCAAAAGGATCTAGAGGAAGTTTTTTCTGTTAAATATGTTTCTACTACTATCTGTACTAAGTTGGCTGTCCTAGGAAACAATGATGCCTTCCAAGGCACTACTAATATCTTGTAATATGTTGGATGTTTAGTTTTTAATATAATATCCTTATTGTTCAAAAAAAAAAAAAAAGAATACAGCTTCTCATATTTATCCTTAGCAATTTCAAAGTTGATATATCATTATTTAAATATAAAAATAAAGTTAAATTTAAAGCTAGCCTACGTTTCCTAAGATAAAATGACTATAACTTCTTATCTTTATCCTTTGCAATTTTAAAATATACTTAATCTTTTAGTATATAAGTAATATTTTGAGTCAAAAATTAGTGGTCAGTGTATATTTAAGTAATCTTTAATCCAAATTCACTATAGTAAAAAAAAAGGTTTATATTATCAAATAAATGATCTGAGTAAAACTAATATAATAGTGATATTAATTAAATATTATTTTTAATGTCAAATAAGTGAAATTAACGAGTTTATTGTCAATTAAGAAAAAGTGATGATTAATTACTGAAATCAAAATGAAAGCAGAAGTATTCCTTTTTTTTTTTTTTTGTTTCATTATGAAAAGTAAGTCAATGGGCGTAGAGGAAGTTGAAATAAAATACAAATTGGATCAATTGAGATAAGTTTTAGAATCTATATTTATATTATATTTAAAAGGAGGTAGTCAAATTTGATATTAAGTCAAGTGGCGTATTGAGAAAATGCCGCTTGAAAAAAATTTATCTGTTGGATTCAGACAGTAAGATTTACTCTAGTTATTACTTTTACTTTGTTTAGATTTTAAAATAAATATTAGTACGGAAAAGTTAATTCATATTCAAAGTAAATAAAAAAATAAGATGCAAAACTTAGCCACATAGTAAATAGATAATTCTTTTACCAAAAAAAGGGATTGTTTAAATTACAGTATTTATGGAGTTTGTCAATTATTAACTTATAGAGAGATAAATTGTGTAGTTAGATAATATTTTTTAAAATATTAATCGTTTGAAAGATAAGACGTTAGAGTTGATTTTTATCATTTAGTAACTTTAGAACTATTGCATTATGTATTAAAAAAATCTAGATATTTTATTTTTGTGAGTTTTTAATTTTCTTAAATTTTTAATGTATTATATATATTTTTTGTGGTTATTATGCTGCATTGCTAATTGATTTTGATGGATTTAGTATATGTGAAATTGTTGACCAATGAAATTTATTTGATATTCCATCCTTATATTGACTATTGAGAATGAAAGCAAACAATTACATAAACAGACTAAAAGAACTACAGTTACGTTTACTTCTCTATTTTTATCTAATGAAATTTATTTTGATAACTTATTTAAAATACTTTCTTTTGAAAAAGAGTGCCAATTTTTTAAGGATTTGAATTCTTGAAATACAGAATTACGCTTCCCATTTCCTTCTTTTTATTTTCATCAATTTTATTTTCTTTTTCCTCATAGTAACGTTTTAGGCTCAAGCAAAAACTATCTCTTAGGTTTACTTAGGAATAATTGAATGGTTACAATGTCACAATTTGAATTGCGATGCCATAAGTTTTGACCAGTCGTCGTTGCTAACTTGCTATCCAGCGAGGTCTACTCTATCATGTGAACTATATGAAAAAAACATAATATATAGTTAACATTAGATTGTGATAATAGAAGATAATGAGGAAGACATCAATGGAGATTCATTAACAACGAATATACGTATAGTAGGAATTTCGTTTGGAGTGCCATAATTGTTTCTCCATTCTAGATGGTTTTCATTGTTAGTTATTTCTCATAATATATTTACGTTATTCTCTTGCTAGTATTAGAAACCTCATAGGATATTTGCCTTTTTCTCTTACTAGTATTAGAACTTGAATGTTACATTAATTATACAAATAATTATTTTTTTACACGACTAACCAAATATTATACTCCCTCTGTTCCAGTTTATGTGAACCTATTTCCTTTTTGGTCCGTTCCAAAAAGAATGAACCCTTTCAAAATTTGGTAATAATTTAGTTTGAAGTTACAACTCTACCCTTAATGAGAAGCATTTATAATCACACAAATACTCTGGGTCCCATTTCGACTTGTTTAGGACCACAAATTCCAAAAGTTTTTTTTTTTTCTTAAACTCTGTGCCCAGTCAAACAGGTTCACATAAATTGGAACGGATGGAGTATCTATTAATTATGCCCCACGATTTTAATCCGAGTTCAAAAAAAATTCTTGAGCAATTCGCGTATTAGTTAAAGGAGTAGTGGTACGAAACCTTAAAAAAGGCGATCTACTAATTATAATACAGTCAACCAAACAATCCCTAACTGGTTCACGATTTTGGTAAGGTATTATGTTCGGATGACTATCTTGGTCAAATCAAATGAGTACAAGAAAACAACTCAATGGAATTTAGTATACACTTTTTCCACATACCCCCTACCCCACTAGCCCCCACCACCCCTATTAGCCAGCTCAGAAGTCTTTAATTCCCTTTATAAATCTCCAACTCCTCTTCGTCAAAGTTCCTCTCTCTCTCTTCATCTCTCTAAAAATATTTGAAAGAGAAAAAAAAGAGCAAAAGCTTCATTCATAATCAATGGCGTCCGCCATTAAGAAAGGAAACATGATTACTCAAATCGTGAGGCTAAAACAAGTCGTCAAACGCTGGAAAAACAAGTCCCTTAAGCGCCGCGGTGTCCTCTCGTACTCCTCATCCGATTCAGACGAACCGGCATTATCCGGTTCGGACAGTCGTACTCCCTCAGGATCATTGGCGGTTTACGTGGGGCCAGAACGCCGCCGGTTCGTTATCCCCACCCGGTTCTTGAACCTCCCCGTGTTCATCTCGCTGCTGGACAAGGCAGAGGAGGAATTCGGGTACCAGAGGACGGGTGGGTTAGTTTTGCCTTGTGAAGTCGAGTACTTTTCGGAGATTTTAAGGTTACTGGACCGGGATGAGGAACGGTTCGGTCATTTGGGTTTGGATGAGCTTGTTAAGCTGATTTCTGAAGTTGGGTTTGAATCTTTAGATCAGTCTTGCAAAGAAGCTGCTTCCCATGGTTTTGCTCCTCTTCTGCAGAATGCTAGGGTTTAAACGGTTTTTTATTCTAACAATGCCCGGTTCCGTTCTGTTTCTCCCCGGTTCGGTTCTTGAAGGAGGAAGCTCCCTAGGGTTAGGTTTTTTTTCTTCTTTTAAATAACTGTAAATGGTGGTGGATCGGTAAATGGGGGTCCACAGCTACCTGACCTAGGCAGTTTTCTTTTTTCTTTATTTTATAGGTTTTTTTTCTTTATTTTATTTTTCTTATTTTTCAACCATCCTTGAGCCCAGAATTTAATTTCTGAAGCTTTGCTGGGTTCCAATGAGATGTGGGAGAATTTTTTTTTTTAGTGCTATTTTTCCCAGACAATTAATATTTGTTCTGGTGGTGGTGATAGAGAGGCAGATGATTGTTATTGTATTATTATCATTATTATGACGATGATGAAAAAAACAAAAGTAGTTTGAGTTAATGAAATATTCATATTGACTTTAGTATTTGAAAAATCTTGGTGTTATTCCTATTCTTTTGGTTGGATCTTATTTTCCGTTGAGATTCTATGTACAACAACAACAACCCAGTAATAATCTCACTAGGGTAGAGTGTACGCAGACTTTATCCCTACCCATAAGGGTAGATAGATTGTTCCGGTAGACCCTCGGTTTAAAATAAAAGATCTGTAACAACAGCAGAAAAAATACAAATAAGATCAGACCATAAGTGATAACAAATAAGTGGGAAGGACAATAACTATGGCAATAATAAAAATTGGAAAAAATATAAAATAAAAGTAAAAAATTAATAATAATAATAATAATAATAATAATAAACAAAAAATAGAAAATGTGATGGAACAATAACCGCAGTCCTATATAAAACACCATCAGACTAGTCAGAACAACGAAGAAAAACGCTCAATCACCGCCTAATCTACAACTCTACTACTCGACCTCCCCACCTTCGTGTATGTATTTTCCTTTATTTGGTTGGATTCCATTAGAATCCAGATTTCAAGTGACTTTGAGATTCTGAGTATCTGAATGGTTTTAATCAATTGGTTATGGACTTATGGTAATAAAACTAGTATCCAGCATGCTAATATCAATTTAGAGTCTTATGCAATTAATTAAAATATATAATTATTTATAATATTCTGAAGCAGTTGATGTCGTACAAAATAATTACAAGTAACTATTGGAAGTTTTAACTTTTAATTTGCTCATTTTTTTCCTATTTTTCTTCTTCTTATGGAGGTCTCAAAATATCACTATAATTTCTGTTAATTAGTAAACAAAGAAAATAATTTAATTTTATCGTTCGTTACAAATGTTGTTCTAATAATGATTCTTTTATAACACGGGGGATCTGTGAAAATAATAGTGAAAATCTTTATTAGAATAATTTTTTTGTTTGTTTAAATTTTAAGTGAGTATGTAAAGATCATTTCCTCCAAATCCTCGGCCAATTTCTTTTTCTTATTTTAGGAGAAAAGAAAGCAACAGTCTGACCTCCATAGGACTTAGATATTTGATACATCTTTGATAAAGATAGAAGAATGAATGAGATAAAAATGTGTCATATTCTTCTTATCCTATATTATCCTGACCTTTTGATAATAATGTCCTCAGGTCCAATGCAAGTTTAAAGTTACCCAACTTTATTTAAAATCAAACTCCACAAACTACAACCACCTTTTATTTCATCTTAGCAAAGATACTTCTATTTTATAATACTTTTTATATTGGTTTACTTATGTGAATTTATTTTTAAATAATTGAAAAATCAATATCAATTTTCTGCTTCTCGTAAATTGCAACTGCCATTTCTTGAGATATGAGTATAGTCAAAAAATACTTACTTGCTTCCGATGTTCACTAAATTTAACTTGGTACTAACATTAGGTGAAGGCAGGGGTGAAACCACCTTTTACTAAGTGTGATTACCACCTTTCATCGAAATATTCAAAAAATTAACTGTGTATATAAATAAAATCTTAGACTTTAAATGTATATATTATATATTGAACTATTATTTGTGAGGAAATATTTCTATTTTTTTAAGTTTGTACACCTTTAAAGAATTTTTTGGGTTCGTGAAGGTAATATTGACATTGATTTGAGGGGGTGAAAATTTATAAAATATTATATATGCTCAAAGTTTATGCATTATACAACCTGTACTCCTTCCAAGTACTATAAAAGTATCACCAGATTTCATGAATCAAAAGTTTGGCAAGATTCCCAAATAGAAGTAGACAATGTTGACAGGTGATGCCTAAATGCACTTGCAATTCAAAAATGAAAAAAAGAGATTAGTATAGTAATAAGTAGTAGTTTTTTTCTAACTAAAAAATTGTCCACATGCTGTACTTCTATTTTTTCAGTTAAAATTTCCCCAACTAGCTCAAGTGTTTCATAAGATTCCCATATATTTGTCTGGACCTTAATTATTTCTTTGCTTTGTCATAGCATCACCTTAACATATTGTACTATCCTTACTGGTTTTCAACTATAGATTCACATTGCACTTGTCCTTTGCTTTTTTATATTTTATTTTATATTTATTTATTTATTTATTTTCCATCTATATCATATGCCTACATTGGACTCGACTAAATTCAAATTTGTACCGAAAAATCTTACAATAGGGTGATGCATTCACAAAAAAAAAAGATGACTTCATACTCAAAATTTGATCCAAGATTTTTTATTAAAGATAAAAAAATACTTATCACTCAACTATATAATTTTTATTAGTTGTCTTTTGCTTTATTTCAACCTACTGTTTTGTGGGTTGCCTGCTAATAATTCGTACAACTTTCTTATTGATTACGTTTGGGTGTTTTATCAGTAGGAGTATTTAATTAGACAACATAATATTACAGGATACCAAAAGAGCTGTCAAATCGAAATGATTATAACAACCTCTCTTGGCATTATATTTCATCTTCAATAGTTTCGATTGACTTAACATGAAAACTAATTAAGAGATACTCATATTAAAATTTTAAAAAATTCAATATTAGTTGAAAGACTATGTGTCGTCGTGTAATGCTTATTTCATGTCACACCGTCAAATCAGGATGGAACGTAATTGACATCCAAACTGTATAACTATTGAGTGAACCCTGTATTAGCTAATTGAAAGTCTCAACTGAACTCAGCACATTAATAAAGGTAAATCAAGTCTTTAATTTTTAAGGTATAGCTGAATTATGAGTTAAATATCAAAACGTTTCATAAGCTAAACTCGCTATTAAGTCATGAGTCCCTAATGATTGAAAACTAAATATAGAGTTTTCGAGACATTCTTCGGGACATACCAACGGTATGGGGTAAAATTAGTTAGCGACAGTTAGACGAATGATGTGATGACATGTGGAACTGAAGACATGTAAAATGTTAGTCAGTAAATAGTTGGCATCAGATACAAGCATGTGACCGGTGCTAGGTGAGTTCCGAAGACATGAGAACCGATAACAAAGACTTCGAAGAAAGACATCTGTTGGAAAAGGCAACATTCAATGAGCAGCCGTTACACAAAATTTCTATATTAAAGACCAACCGTTATACAACCATCAATAGTGATTTTATTCTCATTCAAGAAGAGCTTAATTTGGGGATCTTGTCTTCCTGAATAGAACTATAAATAGGAAAGATTCTCTGCACAAAAAAAGTTCAGCTCTTATTCTATCAAATTGCTCTTTTGCCTTATTCTTAATATGTAGTTCTTGTTATTACTATCCGAGAAGCTAAATTCATACCCAGACTCGTATTTCCTTTAAGTTATTTCATAATATTGATTTTATTCTTATCTATTTCATATTTCTGTGTCAAATTAATTCACATGTCTATAAACCACGTTACAAATTCAACTGTACCATTTTACGGATAAAGAGTTTGGTGGCCACCGTGGGGCATAGACATTTGTATAATTGCTTTGATCCATTCATCTATACTAACAAATTTTGATCCTTTCTTAGCATAAGAAAAATTATATATGGCAGCTAACGGTGTCAACAATCCTATAATGTTGGAGCACACAACGAACGTGAGGATGTGTTCCAACGTGATGATTCAACTAGCGAAACCCGCAATAAAGGAGATGAAACAACTCCAGTTCGCGAAGGTCAAAATCATCAGCATGTGAGGAGTCCAACTCCCGATGATGCGGATGACTAACACGTTGTTGAAACGGTCAAAATTTTGAGAGAGCACCAAAGGAAAATTATGGTTCACCTTTCAAGATAAGACCAGGTGATGATAGAATTGAAGCAGGCGCTATCGGTTGCTTCCAATAATTCTAATGGAGGAGCTCATATTCCTCCCAGTGTCCCTGCAAATCAAACAGTTCAAAGAACTGGTAACGATGCTCCATAGGAGTTAGGTTTTAACGAGGCAGGAGGTACTAGTAGCAGATCTGGGAATGACAACAACACAAACGACCCTTTCAAAACCAAGCTCATGAGATTCATAAGGGAAATTAATGAACGAATAGACCAAAATGCTAAAGAATTCCATGCTCCGATAGATCATATCCTGGGAGTGTCGTCGATGCTAAAGGGGCTGGATTCCAAGAAGTATATGCAGTTGACGTTCAAACCAAATGCGGCCTCAGAGTTAATTCCGAAAAGGTTTAAGATGCTGAATATTCTGAAGTATGATGTGACTTTAAATCCACAGGAACATATCATGACCTACACTATGATTGTAAAGGGAAATGACTTGGCGCAACACGAGATCGAATCTGTCTTGTTGAAGAAATTTTGCGAGACCCTCACGAAGGGTGCTTTAACTTGGTATTCACTTTTACCTGAGCATTCCATTGATTCTTTTGAAATGCTTGTAGATTCTTTTATTAAAGCTTATAATGGAGCAAAAAAGGTCTAAGCAAGAAAGGCAGATATATTTAGAATAGCCCAAGGAGAATCCAAACTATTATGAGAGTTTGTAATCCGGTTTTCAGAAGGAAATGATGTTGTTACCGGCAGTATCGGATGAGTGGGAAGCAGAAGCATTTACAAAGGGTCTCAACCCGTTCAGCTTCGATGCCTCCAAGAAACTGAAGGAAAGCTTGTTAGAATTTCAGGCAACCACATGAACAGATGTCCACAACTGCTATGAGTAAAAGATTAGAATAGAAGATGATCAATTGGGCTCATTGGTGTCTTCCAAAGGACGCAATTGAGATCAGAATCAGGAAAGGTTTAAAGCTGATGTTGATGCAGATCAGAGATTTTTTCTAGAGGTCGTTTTCACCCTTACGAGACTGATGGGCAATGAATAAAGGTTTTCAATCATCGGATAAGTTTTCTTCCGATAGAAGAATGGATCGTGGTTGGAGTAGCAGCATTTTGTAAGAAAAAGAAGCATAGGCATCCCGAGATTCAACGTATCCCCGATTATCCGACTATAACTTTAACATCAGCTTGGTAGAACTAGTATCGATTATGAGGAACATAAAGGAGTCTAGGTTCCCTAAACTAATTCGGTCT